TCAGCTTTGGATTTCGAGGGCGAAAGCCGGGACCAGGCTGCTCGTAAGGGTTTTCAGGGTTAAGGGTTTTGGGGTTTTGGGTTGTAGGGTTTAGGGTTTATGGGTTTAGGGTTTTAGGGTTTTAGGGTTTTGGGGTTTAGGGGTTTAGGGTTTAGGGTTTAGGGTTCAGGGTTTTAGGGTTTTAGGGTTTTAGGGTTTTAGGGTTTTAGGGTTTTAGGGTTTTAGGGTTTTAGGGTTTTGGGGTTTAGGGTTTAGGGCTTAGGGTTTAGGGTTTTAGGGTTTAGGATTGTAGGGTTTAGGGTTTGGGGTTTTAGGGTTTTGGGGTTTAGGGTTTCGGGCTTAGGGCTTAGGGTTTAGGGTTTAGGTTTGTACGGTTTAGGGTTTAGGGTTTTAGTGTTTTAGGGTTTAAGGCTTATGGTTTTAGGGTTTAGGGTTTTTAGGGTTGTAGGGTTTCGGCTTTAGGGGTGATCTTTTGTATTTACACCTTGTTGGGTTTAAGAGGATTATGATTTGGGAGTATGTTTCAGACGATTTTTTCTCAGGGCCCTCCTATACTTCTTTAAGACAAAACCGGCCTCCACCCCAAACCTAAACATCCGAAACCCTAAGCCGGGCAGGACCTGAGCCCCCATTTATATCCCCTTGGTTGCGGGTTAGGGTTTAGGGGTTTAGGGGTTTAGGGTTTAGGGTTTAGAGTTTGGGGGTTTAGGGGTTTTGGGGTTCAGGGGTTCAGGGGTTTAGGGGTTTTGGGGTTTAGGGGTTTAGGAGTTTCGGGTTTTGGGGTTTTGGGGTTTTGGGGTTCAGGGGTTTAGGGGTTTAGGGGTTTAGGGGTTCAGGGGTTTAGGGGTTGGGGGTTTAGGGGTTTTGGGGTTTCGGGTTTGGGGTTGGGGCTGGGGATTTTGGGGGTTAGGGTTCAGGGGTTTAGAACTTTGAGGCTTAGGGCTTAAGGGGTTCAGGCTTCGGTTTTCTTTTTGTATTTTGGGTTGGGGGGTGGGGGGTGGGGGGGGGACCCTCCTGAATGCTCAACGCGGAAAGGAGATCAACACCAGCCGAAGTGGCTGGATCACTTGGGAGGACATGGGGTTGGGGGGTCGAAACAGCATTCGGGGTGTCGAGCCTTTGGTTCCTGTAGTCAGGTTTGGCTTAGGGTTTGGGATGGTTTAGGGTTTATAAGGTTTATGAGGTTTATAAGGTTTATAAGGTTTATAAGGTTTATAAGGTTTAGGGTTTTTGAGGTTTAGGGGTGATATAGTCCTACAAGGAGGAAGACCGAGCCGATAAGGAGAACCCCGATATCAGGAAAATACCCATTTGGGGCGGCTAAACCCTAAACCCTAAACCCTAAACCCTAAACCCTAAACCCTAAACCCTAAACCCTAAACCCTAAAGACTCTAAGCCTTGGGCGCCCAGCGCTATCCTTTTACCCTCTTTTTGGTTCAAGGTTCCTCAAAATAAGTAACCAGCCAAAGGGTGCCCTTTTTTTGTTATAAGAAGGTTTTTGGGCTACCAAGAATCAGGCTAGTCCGGCGATCACTCCATCTAGTTGGGGGGTTCTAATTTTGGTTTTGGAGCTACTGAATGTTCTTCCAAAAGAAAAGGATGCAACCTAAGCCCTACAAGCCCCTAAACCCTAACAAAAACGAAGCCCTCTACAGCTCAAAGTGCAAAAGGCTGCGAGGTCTGAGATTTGGTGATTGGCGGCTTTGAGGCATTTCCGTGGCTCAGTATTTGGGCTGAAACCAGTCGGGTTTAGGGCTCAGGGCACGTTGAGGTGAGCGGTAAACCCAATGTAAACCCATCTAAGCCGTAACCCGCCCCAAGTCAACTCCCCCCTGAGCCCTAAACCCTAAACCCCAAACCCTAAACCCTAAACCCTAAACCCCAGTGGACTGCGCCAGGAGTTCGCGGCCGAGATGTCAGAACGCGTGGAGAACGCCTGCCGGTGAGTCCACAAGATGACTCGCTGGTGTCAGATGTGCACCGAAAGGGTTTAGGGTTTGGGTTTAGGGTTTTGGGTTTAGGGTTTAGGGTTTAGGGTTTATTATTTATTAGGGTTTAGGGTTTAGGGTTTGGGGCCGTTTGGGGTTTAGGGTTTTGGGTTTACGGTTTAGGGGTCGTAAGGCTTCAACTAGCAAGTTTAGGCACTCCATCCTGCGTGTCTCTTGAGGTGTAGGGTTTCCATTTTCCTTTTGGAAGGGGAGCTCTGTCATCGTCTCCATTATGGCTTTAGGGTTCGGGTTTAGGGTTTAGGGTTTAGGGTTTAGGGTTTAGGGTTTAGGGTATAGGGTTCATCATTTATTTGGGCTTAAGGTTCAGGATTTGGGGTATTTAGGGTTTAGGGCTTAGGGTTTAGGATTTGGGGATGAGACGGCTCCGAATTTTTGGCATGCTTCGTAGTCATAGTGCTTTCGGAGCCGAGTCTTTTGATCATTGCATGGCACACTTCAAGTTTCATGCCCTAAACCCTATAAACCCTATAAACCCTATAAACCCTAAACCCTAAACCCTATAAACCCTAAACCCTAAACCCTTGCAGCAGATGTAGCTCAGCCGCGCCGGAGCAATTGTACAGGATGCTGGCCGGATGCCCCGCCTTCACTTCCCGCAAGAAAATCGGCCAACCGAGGGGTTGTGCCCTGAACTCTGGACCCTAAACCCTCCCAAGCCTTGCCCCTGCGTCAGGCTTCCTCCGCCGTGGCCGCGGAGCCTCGCTGAGAGGGGCACAAAGAGAGGAGACAGTCGGAGACGCGCCTGGCTTTACGGCTTTACGGCTTTAGGGGGTAGGGTTTACGGCTTGGGGTTGAGAAGGTTAGGCGTTTTGGCTCTTGGGAGATTCTGGGAGATTTGTTTGAAAAAATCCCTTCTTGTCGTTGAGGGACTTTTTTGGCTCGAGCCGCATCTCGATCTTCGAAATGCTCGTCCTACACCATGGTTGTACCCCTGCAGCACCTCTTCAGGCTGCTTGCTTGGGGGTTGAATGCAACAAGAAAACTCCTATGGACCCGAAGCCCGAACCCCAAGCGCTGACCCTAAGCCTTATACCCCTGCTAACACTAAGCCGAAGCAGATTTCATAACGTAGGGGTCGGAATCTGTGGAAATGCTATTACTTTTCGGTTCCTACTATCATAACCCCCTTAAACACCCGATTCTAATTACCAAGGCCCCTTTGTTTATCCAAGGCCAGGGTTTCGGGTTTAGGCTTTAGGGGAGGTATCCCGGGAGCGCAATGACCTGAAAACGGAGCCGTACCTCCGTGATATTGAACTCCCAACAAACGATTCCACGACAATACGAGAGTTATTTGATCCTCGAACGGGAAGAATGCAGAAGCCTAGATAGATCCTAATCCTGTAAACGTGGCCCAAACTACCCAAAATCAAACTCTCTTTCGAAGCACATGGGTATTTTTTCAACCCTGAACCCCAAACCCTAAACCCTGAACCCTAAACCCTAAACAAGAGTTTGTGAGGAGCAGAGTCGAAACCCACAACTGCCTGTGCGTCTCCGCAACTTTTTTCGCCAGCGCTGGCCGGTGGAGATACAGAGCGGAGGGCTGCCAATCGGAGAGAGGGAAATCGGGTTTAGGGTTTAGGGTTTGGGGGTTTAGGGGTTTAGGGGTTGAGGGGTTGAGGGGTTTAGGGGTTTAGGGGTTTAGGTGTTTAGGGGTTTAGGGGTGTAGGGGTTTAGGGGTTTAGGGGTTTAGAGATTGAAGCTTGCAAGGGTTTCTGGGCTTAGGTTGCCAGTGCCCTACAGTAAACCCCAAAAAAATTGGAAACCTTTTTAAGGACAAATAGTGCTGGGATTCCCTATACTTTACTCTTAGGGATTGAGGCTATTGAGTTTCCAACTTTTTGGCTTCTACTATAGATCAAAGAAGAATGCACGTGCAGGGCCAGGGTCGCCACAGAAGGAGGTTCTGGGGCCGGTCTTTGCACTTTGTGGTGCTTTACTGTAACTTTAGATCCTCAGCTTTTTTTGGGTTTATTGGGCTTCCTAGTAAGGCAGCTAACAGTTTGTAGCTACCCTCCTAAGTGCAGCCAAGCGCAGAACATTCAACCCTAAACCCTAAACCCCAAACCCTGGGGCGAAGACGCGCAGACGCGCACACCCTACAGTGACACTTGCCTTCCATTGGGGTTTAGGGTTTAGGGTTTAGGGTTTGGGGTTTAGGGTTTAGGGTTTAGGGTTTAGGGTTTAGGGTTTAGGGTTTAGGGCTAGGACCCCGATCAGGCCCCCTGATTCCCTTGAAAGGAGGCCTTGCAAAGCGTTCAGGGCAGCACATGACAGGTTGCAGGGTTATTTAGGCCCTTACAATCACGTCCTCCTCTCCTCCTCCTCTCCTCATCCTCCTCCTCCTCTCCTCCTCTCCTCTCCTCTCCTCTCCTCTCCTCCCCTCCCCTCCCCTCTCCTCTCCTCTCCTCTCCTCCTCTCCTCTCCTCTCCTCCTCTCCTCTCCTCCTCTCCTCCTCCTCGTCCTCGCTCACGTAGGACGCACTTTTGTGAGAAGGATGTGAGACCCAGTTTTCACAGGTGGTTCAGGGCATTACGTGTCACCAAGCACTAAAGCACTGCGCAGCCATCCCCAACATGGCCCCTCGCACCCAAGCAGACAGAAAGGTTGTTTTCACGAAGCTGCAATTTTGTTGCAGGGCCTCGCACAGCCGAATGTGGGTGACCACCACCGCGCTGCGCCTGCTGCAGCGTAAATGGCAGCACATAGCCCTACGGACCAGTGACCAAAATGGAGTATGTATTTCGCGCACCTGTAACCGGAGAAAACATCCCCCTACAATCAGGTTAGGCCTCGGGGGCCTGTGTTTCAGTGGTCTTTAGCCTTTACCCCGGGTATTCCACTTGTGCCTGGATTTGTTGCTCACGGGTTTGGGGTTGGGGCTAGCATGCTTGCATGGACGTGTTTCCGTTTGAAGCGTTGATGCCCTTCCAGCAGTTTTTCAGGCTTCCGGGGTTCCTCGTAAGAGGTTTCCATCTCAAGTCGCCATGTGGCCGGACGGCAATGACCAGTTCTTCTTTGCAGTATGCGCTGCGGCTGCCTTGGTGTACTGCCATGTTGTAGCGCCGGACATGCTAGCAGCTTGGAAGAAGCTTCGTAACTGCTGGCACGGGGCTTCTGGGAACCACACCGCTGACCCGAAGGGTGTGGAACAGCTGATGGAGAATTTCCGAGCGGCCAACTTGCGTTACGGCACCGTGGTATTTTTCCACATAGACCTGGTGACCTCTCTGCATTTTTTGTGGACTTTTCTGCACGCTCCGACCATGTCTGGCGCAACGGAGTTAGCAGCCAGCATCTGCGCTTCTCGTCATTTCTTGAGTACTGGGTAATTTTCTCCCAGGTTTTCTACGCAAAACCTTGGGATGGTCGTGTTTTCCGTGACGTTGGATTGAGACACCCATTTTTCAGACGGTAGAACGTGCTAGCCTAGTCATTTGGTTCCACACCCCCCCACCCCCCCTCTTCCCGAAGAGCAGCTAAGTCCTGCATCGTGGCGTTCTGCATCAGCAGCGGCCGCGTAATGGTTTCCCGAAAGCTACTTTTGTTCGGGAACTTTGTGTGTCTGCCCTGTGCAAGCCTCGGTGTGTGGAATCCGGAGAGGCCTTTTCTGGGCAAGCTGCGGCAAGCTTTGGTTGTGCTGCATATGTAACTTATATGTAGTGAGAGCCATTAAGGTGAGGCCATACTCGGGGTTCTAGTATGTTGTTTCGATTAAATATCTCATGATGATTGCCTGATGATTGGTGTCGCTGTGACATGTAATTACATCATATATCATACTGTCAACCCGTGATTAACAACCCGCCCACACACAGACAAGGTTTTGGCCCACAAGGTTTGCCCCACCCCCTGATAAGGACAAGGCCCGACCCCCCCAATAACCATAGTCGGTTAGGCCGACAAGGTGTGGGCTCTCACACGGTGTGGGCCCGACCTTGTCGAACCTCAAATAGTGGAAGACTACTTTTTGAGGCAAAGCCATGAGTCAAGACTTGTTTAGAGGGAAAAGGGGGGCGGCTCCGTATCTCCAGTCCTCCTGACTACAAAGAGATGGTTTACTAATCGGGGGATTGAACACAGCTGGAAAATGAGCACGGAGACCCGACTAATTTCGGGGGTTTACTCAGATGGGTTTGTTGAGATCTGGGATTCGAGGTCTTGGGGGTGGACCCGACTATTTGTTCGTTCACATGGGGTCTTGAAACCTGCACTGCCCGACGCCTGAGCCGTGATCATAACTAAATTGCTTCAACCGTCACAGCTCATCAGCTTTTTTCAAGAAGGCCAGGAGGGCGAAATTCGTAATTATTGCCGAACTACGAAACGCTGCAGGGGCCCCGCTTGGGGCCAGAGGGGTGTATGTACATGGGGTCTCGGGGAGTGGCGGGTTTTGGAGGGCTTTTTCCCGAAAGCACGGCGGAGGGTTTTTCAGCGGAGGTGGTGGTCTTTAAAGAGTGTCGTATAATATGGACGACGTGATGGATGCCGTGATGGATTTGATGGATTTCGCTGCGTGCTTTCGTTGCGTGATGGATTTGGTGGGTTTGCCTCGATCTTAAAATTAATACGCTTTAGAGGACGGGGTCGATAAACATCGTGGCTTCCACTTCCGCAGATTGGTTTGCGCCAGACTCTTAAATATGATATGCAACGCTTTCGGGCCCCCTCAGAAGTGATTCCGACTTCGACGCTGGGCTGAAATTTTGCATGGTGCTGATTGCGCACTCTGTGGCGGCGCTCTTGTTCCTTGACGTGACGGTTTTCATTCCGGCGGCTGTCCTGCACAGCTTCGTCAGCGTGGCGACGTTCATTCACTTCAGAGGCAGCTCGCAGTTGACACCGGTCTTCGTAGCGTTCCATGTGTTCCAGCTGTTCGCGCGCATCGTCCTCGTGTGCATGGTCGAGGTTGCGGTGCGTGATTGCTTTGGATCCCATCAGAAGTTGGAAGAAGCAGACTGCATGATTGCAGGGTTTCAGAAGATTTTGAAAGGGCTTTGCGACGGAAGCCTCCTGCTGGACGATCAGCTACGCGTCCACGGGCCCACAACTTCTTTGCAGCACCTCCTTGACCGGACAGAGATTGCAGGCGTCGACTTCGAATCACTTATTGCGGATTCCTCGGGGAGGGAGCGCTTCGCCACCTTCATCGAGGCCTTCTCAGTCCCCTCCCCTCCGCCCCCCCGACTCTGCGAAGATGCCAAAGTGGCAAAGTCCAAAACACACCAAGAAGCCCTGACGCACCCCACTTTAGGGTTGAGGGTTTCGGGGTCATGAATATATCTGCATAAACGCATATGTGTGTGTATATATATGTTATATGTTATATGTTTATACATTTATACATATATGCACTGATGTACATACATATACATATATATATATATGTAGATCTTTGTATTACATGTATATACATAAGTATCCCGTGCGGACTGTCTGTACTATTTGATCACTCTTTTTGCGTAGTTGTTCAGTCTTCCAAAGTGCACAAGCCTTTTATAGGCCCTAAACCCTAAACCCTAAACCCTACACCCTACACCCTAAACCCTAAACCCTAAACCCTAAACCCTAAACCCTAAACCCTAAACCCTAAACCCTAAACCCTAAACCCTAAACCCTAACCCTGCAACCCCAAGCCACATGGAGGCCTCATGCGCTGCTGCCGGGCAGCGCACGGGGGCATCGCCTTTCTGCTTGCGGCTGGCCCTGAAGTCCGGCTCCGGTGGGATCGCCGCTTTTTACAATTTCAAGGGGTTTAGGGTTTAGGGTTTAGGGTTTAGGGTTTAGGGTTTAGGGTTGAATTATAGTGAGGTTGCTTAAAACCCGATGCTCGAAACCCCAAAGCCCAAAAGCTAAACTGTTTGGGAGAAACCTCTTTGGATCCAACAAGGGTTCGGGGATTAGCCGGTCCGGCTAGATATTCCTTGATGTGAGATAAAGTAGGGCCTTTTTGTGGACAGTGCTTTAAACGATGGTCCTTGTGCGGGGTAGCCACGCAAGGACCCCACACCCCAATTGAGGATCCTAGTCTCCCGAGGTCATCGTGGTCATCCCATACAGACTCGGCATTCGAGGCTTAAATCTTCATTCTCCCAAAGTGTTGCGTTGTAGAGGTGGGGGGATCCACGAAGATGGCACATTTGGGGCGAAGGGGTTCAGGTCTACTTGCCCTCTTTCCACCCTGCAAAGTACCCTTAGGGTTTAAGGCGCTTAAGGCTCAGGGTTTCATACGGGTCTAAGTGAAGCTTCGCAGAAGTATTGAACATGTGTGGTAGTTGGCGCTGGGATAGGTATGCCGGCTTTACTTGAGACTCCCAAACCCTCAAATAGCAGGGTATAAACTCTAAAAAATAGTATGCAAATGGAGCCCCAGTTACGGGGTAGGGTCAAGTGTAGCGTTGGGGGTCACGGACCACGTCAGCCGAGGTTTCGCTGGATGCATTTCACGCAGCAGTGCCTGGGATGTTCCGAAAATGTACAGCTCAGCCGATCGATCCTGAGACCCCAAACACCTGAACCCATGAACCCTAGAGCCTAGACCCTACACCGTTTGCAGACGTTTAGCGGTAGGCCTGGCACCCCCAAATCCTCAGCCCTAGAATGCCAATTTCCAGGGCCTCGGTTTTGGTCTTCAGGCTTCAGGGGGTGTAAGGTGCAGAGTCTAAGGCTGAGGGCGCCCCAGGGTTTGGGGTTCAAGCCCGATGCCTTGAGCCGCTCCAGGTACCGGGCCTTTCAGGGTCGAAGAAGCCATACCATCTGCTTGCCTTTCTTGAGGACCCGGTCTGTTTGGGCTAGGGTTTAGGGTTCCAGGGGTTTCCAGGGGTTTATAGGGCTTATAGGGCTCAAGGATGACGCGTGTCCTACGTTTAGGGGTTTAGGGTTTAGGGTTTAGGGTTTAGGGTTTAGGGTTTAGGGTTGTCCTACGTTTCTGTCAAGGGATTCAGACTCGCACCCCTATAAGGTCCTAAGGTTGTACCCCTAAAGATTCCTCTTAAGATACGCCGAATATAGCCCTTATATTTTCTTAGGGATCCTTAAAAGGGACCCCCAACACCCAACAGTACAACCTTAAGCCTCCAAGGTAGGACCCCTAGACTCTGGCTGCTTTAGGGTTTAGGGTTTAGGGTTTAGGGTTTAGGGTTTGGGTTTAGGGTTTAGGGTTTAGGGTTTAGGGTTTAGGGTTTAGGGTTTAGGGTTTAGGGTTTAGGGTTTAGGGTTTAGGGTTTAGGGTTTAGGGTTTAGGGGCACCGGCGTCCTTCTGCCAAGGCTGTAGGGCGACTGAAGAATCTTGCTCCTAGGCCAACAGCCCAAAAAGTTTAGGAAGCTAGGGTTTAGGGTTTAAGGTTTAGGGTTTAGGGTTTAGGGCTTAGGGCTTAGGGTTTAGGGTTCGGGGTTTAAGGTCAAGAGGCTCATGGGCCATCCAAGAGGCTCATCAGCCCAAACCACCCAAAACCCTGCAAGGAGGGGCCCCCGTTGCTATTCCAACTGTGGGTTTAGGGTTTCGGGATTAGGGTTAAGGGACTTGAAACTTAAGTTAGGATCCTTGAAACCCAACTCAGGTTTCCTATACGTCTACTTCTACCCTAAACCCTAAACCCTAAACCCTAAACCCTAAACCCTAAACCCTAGATATAGCTCGGGGGGGAGCCTTCTTGTACGAAAGCAGCAGCCCGAGCTCGAGAACCCTAAGCCCTAGAAGCCCCCAAACCCTGCACCTGGTTTCTAAGGGTAGCTATACATATATATATATATATACACATACATGTATATATATATATATATATATTTCTAAGGGTAGTTATACATATATATATATATGTATATTTTTTTTTGGGGGGGGGGCCCTGAAGATGGGCCTTTTTTTCCTTTAACGGGTTCCAGGGCCCAAGTTTAGGGGGCCATGTACCTACCCTAAGATGGTTCCTTGAACCGGAACCCGCGTTTGGGGCTTAGTGTTTTGGACCAGAGAAGACCCCGCGATTCGCTTTGTTTGTGGGTCTTCTTCCCCTGAAACCCCAAATGTGCCAAACCCTGTACCCCTTTTACTTGCAAGCTGGGACCGAGTATTCTAAGCCCTGCACCCTGAATAACCAACACGGACCAAGGTACAACCCGGGGGAGGGGGGGCAGCATAGTAGTTCTTAATATTCCCTACAGCACGCTCTGGAGACTTCCTCAGTTTCCCTTTACTTCACTAGGGTTTAGGGTTTGAGGTTTAGGGCTTTGGTGGCGGCTCTCTTAATCAAGGGGGACAAGGAGGGACCCCAGAAGGGACCCTCAATCTTATTCCCTTATATAACCCCTATGTATACCTTATACAGTCTTTATATACCTAAGCGGCCCTAAACAAGACCCCATAAAGAACCCCTAAGGTCCCTTATAGGGTCCCTCCTTTAGTCCCTTGATCTTAATCACTTTTAACCCAGACCCCTGGGAGGATCCAAAAAATAGAGCCCCCAAATTGTGCCCTATACTGCTCTTGGGCTCTTCTTAGGAGCCCTTAAGGGGATCTATTTGTTGCACCCTAAACCCTAAACCCTAAACCCTAAACCCTAAACCCTAAACCCTAAACCCCAGGGGTCTGGGTTCCCAAAGGACATCGAAGGCCGTCCCGCGCTGCCGGCTCCGCCGGGCGGGGTCCCTGAGCCCTGGCGATGGCCCCGTTTCGCCGCTTGACCTTCAGTGTCTACGCTTTCAAGCCCCCCAAGACCCCGAACCCCAAACACAAAAAGCCCATCGAATCCCCGCGCTTTCAGCACGGATGAGTCTACACACACACACACACCCTAACCTTAAACCCCAAACAACCCTAATTAAGCCCTAAACCCAAAGCAACCCTAAACCCTATACCCCCCCCGCCCCCCACCCCCCCCTCCCCCCCACCATGGCTTGGCATGAGTGATTTTCGGGGTCGCAGGGAAAGGCCTTCTCGCGTTTGTTCTGAGGGGCAGTTTTTGAGGTCCTTTGCGGGACTTTAGAGTGCTGGGTGTAGGGGGATATTTGTTAGAGTTTGGTCCTGACTGAGGGAATACGGCTGGTTCTCCAATTTCGAGAACCGCCCTTGTAAACCCTAAACCCTAAGCCCTCCTGACACCCCAACTCCCTTTTGATTGCCGGGAAGGGTTTGCATGGTTCAGGGTTCCTAGAACTATGGGGTGACGTTTTCTAGGGTTCAGGGTTCAATCGGTTTAGGGTTTAGGGTTTAGGGTTTAGGGTTTAAGGTTTAGGGTTTAGGGTTTAGGGTTTAGGGTTTAGGGTTTAGGTTCATATATAGGTTTTTTTTTGAACAACCCGGAAGTTCCCAATTCCGAATGTCATGGGCACAGGGCACGGCGCCGCGGGTGCCCGGCCCAATGTCATCCCAGGCCCGGGTGCTGTTTAGGGTTTAGGGTTTAGGGTTTAGGGTTTAGGGTTTAGGGTTTAGGGTTTAGGGTTTAGGGTTTAGGGACTCGGGTTCACCTTATTGTTTTCACACCCTATATCTATGCAACCCTGACCCCAAAAATCACAGCACTGAGACCTAGCAAGTAGATTCCCTGAAATCATGCGTCGAGCATCCCTGACCGAAGCAATTCGACTGGCACTGTGGGTTGTTCTGGGCTTAGGATTTAGGGTAATTAAAGGGTTTAGGGTTTAGGGCTTAGGGCTTAGGGTTTAGGTTTTAGGGTTTAGGGTTTAGGGTTTAGGGTTTAGGGCTAGGGTTTAGGGTTTAGGGTTTAGGGTCTAGGGTCTGGGGCATCCAGGGATACGCTGCGGGATGCGGCGCTGAGGCAACACCTTTGTTCGCTGCGTGTCTTCCTAAACCCTAATTACAAACCCTACTTGGAGTTCCCTAAGCCAACCCTAAACCCTAAAACTAAACCTTTAAAAGCCCTGTAAAGCCCCAGAGCCCTTAAAAACTCATAAAACTCTATAAACCCTACTACCCTACTTGGGGGTTCATGGTACTTACTAACCCAAGTATCGCAGTACTTGTAAATCCACTTATAAGCTCCTGCAGTGCCCTAATATGGTTATAGTTGGGTATAAGTAGAGTTATGATCCCCTAAAACCTGGGGACCCGGGCATCTAAATGTTAAGCATACTCCTATGTTTTGCGTTCAGTGGTTAGGGGTTTAGGGTTCAGGGTTTAGGGCTTCGGTTTAGGGTTTAGGGTTCCCGAAGCCAGAGCAACCCACCCTACAAACCCTACACACCTTATCACCCTACAAACCGTATAGACCGAAACCCTGAACCCTAAACCCTACAAACCCAGAACCCTAAGCCCCAAACCTTGAGAACCTTAAACCCGAACCCTAAACCCTATAGACCCTAAAACCCAAGAAGCCCTAAACACTATAAACCCTATAAGCCCTATAAACCCTAAACCCTATAAATCCTAGAAACCCCATAAACCCTGTAGACACTACAAGCCCGATAAACCCGAAGAGCCCTACAGACCCTGTAAAGCCTTAAAACCCTATAAAACCCTATAAACCCTTAAAACCCTGTAAACCCTAAAACCCCTCAACAACTTAAACTTGAAACCCTATTAACCGTAAACCCTATAAATCCTATAAGTTCTGTAAACCCTTTCGACCCTGCGAGCCCTGCAAACCCTTAAAAACCCTGTGAGCCCTTTAAACCCGATAAACCCTATACAACCCTCTAAACCCTTAAAACCCTACACAAGGTTGCGAAAAAAAAACCTATAAACCCCTTGTAAACCCTACAAAAAACTCACAAAAAAAGCCCTATACACACCCTATAAAGCCCTACCCCCCACAAAAAGAAAAAGCACCTGTAAACCCTGAGGCCAGCAGCCGCGCCTCGACCGCTGGATCCCCAGCCATGGATGCCCTCGAGACTCTGCAGGTCGTTCGGGAGCTGCTGGGACTCGGAAACAGCAGGTTTGAGGGTCTTAGGGTTTAGATATAAGGGATTTAGGTTTTTAGGGTTTGAGGGTTTAGGGTTGGCATCACTTGGTAGCCCAGTGGTACAGGTTTGCCCGTATTTTTGCGTCTGGGTCCTCTGAAAACCTAAGCCACCCCCCTCCCCCCCACCCCCCCCACAAAAGGGTGCCCTTATTATGATGCGGTTACTGGGCTATGACGGGAAACTGCAGTCACCCTACATACCCTAAGCCCTAAATCCCTGAGCCCCTACACCCCTAAAGCCGTAAACCCCTAAACCCCTAAACCCCCAAACCGCTGAATCCCTAGCCATCGCCCCGATCCTAACCCATGTAGACATGCATACACCCTATAATGCCCCTCCCAGCCTTGCATACACCCTATAAAGCCCCTCCCAGCCCTGCATTACCTTTGGCTCGTTACCTCCTCACAACCCTCAACCCGAAGCCCCAAGCCCTAAGCCCTAAACCCCAAGCTCTAAGCCCTCAGCCCTCAGCCCTAAGCCCTATGCCCCAAGGTTGGAAGAGGCGACATTTGTGATTGACAGTCAGACAGAGGAGCTGATCATCCTAGAGGCACACCTGAAGCTGGGACCAGGGTATTTACGGTTTAGGGTTTGTACGGTTTCAGGCGTTTCGCTTTTTTTGTTTGTAGGGTTTATGGGGTTTACCCTAACCCGTGAACCCTAAACCCTAAACCTTAAACCCTAAACCCTAAACCCACCCCTTTTTTCTGCTTTCTGGGCAACCAAGGAAGTTCGTCAAGACGCCCACCGATGTTGAGTTCAAGTTGCATCTGCCTTCGGTGAAGTCCATCTCCAGGCATACATCGGCTCTTGATTTTAGGCTTTCGACTAGGTTTAGGGCCTGGCTTAGGGATAACGATAAGGATTTAGGGGTTTAGGGGTTTAGGGTTTAAAGGGTTTAGGCTTTTAAGGGGTTTAGCGTGCCAGGCCAACCGATTGGCCACAGCTGCAGAGCGATCTGTTTCATTACGCACATGGACTTTTAGGAGGTGCACCCCAGCTGCCAACGCGCCTCCGACCGTTTCGCGTCTCCGTTCCTGGCAACCCGCGGAAGTATTTGAAGGCCGAGTACACCCAGCTGAGCTGCGCGAATCGCATCGTCCTGCCCGACCAGCCGCTGTTTCTGCACCTGCATCTGAAGAACTTCAACAAGATGGAGGCAAGCTGGCGTCAGCATTGTTGGGAACCCGTCATCTTGTTTGTTGTCCAACCCCGATCCCCCCCTCCTCGCTCTCCCTCCCCGCTCTGCCCCTCCCTCCCCGCCTCTCCGGCCCCGCCTCTCCCCCCCCGCTCTCCCTCTCAGCTCTCCCCCTCCGCTCTCCTCCCGCCCCCTCCCCACCCACCCCGTCGGCCCCCCTCCCCCCGCCCCCTCCCCCCGAGAATCCCTTACATGAAGATGTAGAGGCCTGCAAACCCTGAAAGTTGTAAGTGGGCTGTCTTGGACTTCTGCGCGCGCTCACAACCCTAAACCCTAAACCCTAAACCCCCAAGCCCCAGTAAACCAACACCCGCAACCTCAACGCCTATGAACCCAGATCCCAAATGCACAAAGGCGGTGGCTAACTTGTCAGTCCTACAAACTAAATTGGCCCAAAGTCTTCTGCCCTAAACCCTAAACCCTAAACCCTGAACCCTAAACCCCAAACCCTAAACCCTAAACCCTAAACCCTAAGTCACGGAGGCGTATCCCACGCGACTTGCGAGCCGGTTTCAGGGATTTGCCTTCCAAGAGGACGAGGAGCCCTTTTGGTGCAACTTGAGGTTCTTGATTTGTCTAGGGTTTAGGGTTTGGAGTTTAGGGTTTAGGGTTTAGGGTGTAGGGTGTAGGGTTTAGGGTTTAGGGTTTAGGGCTTTCGGGTTTTCACCTGCAGGTGTTTCCTTCCGGTTGGGCTGCCTGCGTGGTCCTGGAACCCCGTCAACCCCTGGAAGGCCTAAACATGACCCTAACCCTGAGTAGCCCAGTGGTACCCTTTACCCTTTTTTGTGGGGTTCTGGTTTCCCTTCTAAAAAATAAACCAACCCAAAAAGGGTGCCCTTATCGTAAGATGGTTACTGAGCTACCAAGAACCCCAAAGTCCTAACCCCGAAGACTGTTTTCAACCTTGCTGCAAGGCACCGAAACTTGACCGTGGATGGTCAAAATTGTTTAGGGTTTAGGGTTTAGGGTTTAGGGTTTAGGGTTTAGGGTTTATTGTAAACGCTAAAGGTTGCATTTGGGTCCCAGCTAGCATGAATGATGTATACAGAAGGCTTGGAAAGATACGCTGGATGACAAGCCTTAATGCAGGGTCGTATCATAGGCCTACAATCCAATGTCACCTAAAAGGCCGCAAATCCTTCCCAGAGCTACACATCTCGAGTGCATGAATGGATTTATCGCCTACCATTGAGTATAAGAGTTTGGGTCAGTTTAGGAAGGATCCCATCATCGCGATTGGCAAGTTGAAACTTGTGACAAGCCCTTATCACTGAAAACATGAAAAACACAGTACTCGAAAAGCACGAGCCTGTATTCCGACGCACTCTATGTGTATATATATATATATGTATATATATATATATAGTAGTTTCACCACATATATATATATACATATTGTATTTTCACCCTATCTAGGGTGCACAAAGAAGGGGGACCAGCCTTTAGGTAAGAAACCCAAGGTCTTTTGGTCTGCTCTTCTTTCTTGTGTGTGTGTGCGCGTGTCTGTACTTGTTTTGTTCTGTCTCTCTCTCTCTCTCTCCCTCTCTTTTCTCTCTCGCTCGTTTCAAGAGAATGTTGATCAAACGCTTGTTGAGATGCTTAGGTAGGCCTACCAAAACCCAAGCTAGGCTTGGGGGTCTTCAAATTCGACCCCCATGAACCCGGAAGCCCCATGAAAGTGGGAGGGGGGGGAAGCGGGGAAGGAGCAGAGCGACGACGATGGGCAGAGTTCTGGGGCGACCAGCAGCTTCACCTGAAACCATCTCATTGGCTCTGTTGGCTGCTCCTCTGGCGTTTCATGTGGGAGCTTCTTTCATCTTCTCCCCTTCTACCCCCCCACCAACCTTGAACAGTCGAACTCGATTTGGCCCTCCTTCGGCAGTCTGAGGCTCCCTCCTCGGCAGGCTGCTGGGGAGCACGACACCCGGAGAAAAGAAAACATGTCTTTGCATCGGATCCCGTGTGTCCTAAGATAGGATTGAGTGTGCCTACGCAGAAGCCTCGAGTGCTGGGATCCTTGAACGTGAAAGATTCAGGGTTGAGGGTTCAGACTATTGGCATCTTTGCAGAATCGAGACCCCAAGAGGAACCTGGAAACAAGAAGGGGTGGCACCCTCTTTTGGTCTCAAGGGGCTTATAAGGAAATCTAATAATCTAAACCCTAGAAAGAGGGAGCAAGGGCCTACTCTGGGTCCTGTCACCCTAAACCCTAAACCCTAAACCCTAAACCCTAAACCCTAAACCCTCAGTTCTCTGGGGCCCTGGGAGTAGCTTTGGGGTCTTTGGCGCCCCTCGACCCTCTAGCAGAAGCTCTCAACCCTTTAGGGTTTAGGGTTTAGGGTTTAGGGTTTAGGGTTTAGCTGGACCTGCCTTGGCATCTTCGTCCTTCCAGGTTTACCTTCCAGGTCTAGAGTCGCAGGGTTTCTATAAGGGGGGGGCCCCCTTTACTAGACTAAGTAGAGTGAAGGGACTTCCCGAAGCTAGGACCTTTGCAACCCAATTTCGGGTTCTCACTCTACTTTGTAACTGGGGGGGATTTCCGGAAGCAGCCCCTCCGCGCAACTACAATAACCCCCCAAAAGCCCAAAACCCTATTCTAATCATTTGGGCTCCTACAGTAGGTTCTGGCTGTCTTCGCCTTGAGGACGCCATGATGCCGTGCGCTCTCAGCAGGAATGTATGGTTTACAGCAAGCAGGGTCCTTCGTGAAGACACGATCCCGGGAAATACTTCCAGACCAACCGGAGCGTCTGCACGTCTCAGCCCGAAGCCCTTGCACGCGAGACAGAGCCAAGACCTAGACCACCAACCGGCAGCAAACGCCGTGTTCACCACCACCCCAACCCACCTCAAGACCCCCCAAAGGGGTTAGGGTTTAGGGTCCCCCCTAAACCCCTCGCGCACACACTCCTCTCAGCATTGAACCCTCCATATCGCCATGCAGCTGATCTTGGGAATCCTAGCGCTGCTTGCGGGCTTCTGGACACAGCAAGGGTTTGGGTTTTAGGGTTTGGTGCTAAGGTTTTGCTATGCGTTGGGTAGGGCTGAATGATTCAAAACAAACATGAAGGTAGGCCGGAACTGCGACCATAAGCCCTAAGTGTACCTAAATACGGAGTACTTGGGCCTTAAAGCACCTCCTATATAGGGACTTTGGGGCCAAAGTACATAATGAGGTACGTGGCTCCTTGGGGCTTTAAACGGACTCTACCAGAGCAGACACCTGAGTCTGGTTAGGGTTTAGGGTTTAGGGTTTAGGGTTTAGGGTTTAGGGTTTAGGGTTTAGGGTTTAGGGTTTAGGGTTTAGGGTTTAGGGTTTAGGGTTTAGGGCTTAGGGCTTAGGGTTTAGGGTTTAGGGTTTAGGGTTTAGGGTTTAGGGTTTAGGGTTTAGGGTACTGAAAACCCTGATTAAACACTTGTCCCTACACGTTAAACCCTAAGCCTTCAGACCCACAAGGGCTACTTGGAGGTTCCTAGTACTAAACGCCCAATCATATAACCCACTTATAAGCCCTGTATACAAGTACAGTTACAGCTGGGTTATTAAGTACCATGAGCCTCCAAGTAGGGTGCTCTAGACCCTAAACCCTAAGCCCTAAACCCCAAACCCTAAACCCTAAACCCTGAACCCTGAACCCTAAACCCTCAACTCTAAACCCTAAACCCTAAACCCTAGCCCTAAACCCTAAACCCTAAACCCCAAATCCCGGGCTTGCAGGAAGAGCTTGGGCACCCTTGCGTGGCCATTCTGCCGCAGCTGGGCGCTCAGACGCTAGGGGTTTAGGGTTTAGGGTTTAGGGTTTAGGGTTTAGGGTTTAGGGTTAGGGTTTGGGGTTCAGGGTTCAGGGTTTAGGGTTTAGGGTTTAGGGTTTAGGGGACCCAGAGAAGGGCCCTTATTCCCCTGTTTAGGGTTTAAGGTTCCCTTCTTTCAGCCCCTTTAAGTCAAAAAGGGTGTAGGGTGTGCTGTGGCTCCTGAAGAACGTTGCAACCGCAAGGCAACTTCTGCAACGACACCGGGACCAACCTGATGTCCTCGGTAGGATTAGGGGGACCCTTAAACGGGAACCCTTCCGAACCCTCTTCCGGCTCTCTTAAGCAGGACCTTATTGAGAGGGTCTATCCCCAAGGGTCCCCCTAATCCTATCCCCTATGGTGGGCATGTTGTGTAACCCTGAACCCGAAACATCAAACAGGAAGCACGACGGTGGAGAGCAAAAGGATGTCGGCCATTCAACCAGCAACTCAGCCGTGAAGCCTCAAATTCACGGGCCACCCCGTCTCCCCAAGAAAAAAGCGCTGAACCCCCTAAACCCATAGACCCCTAAACCCTAAGCCTGAACCCTAAGTACTGAACCCAAGCCCCTAAACCCGAGACCTACCTTTAGGGGCTTTAGGGCTTCTAGGGTTCGTAGCATCAAACCCCTGAACCCTAAAACCTAAACCCTGACCCCTAAACCCTAAACCCTAAACCCTAAACCCTAAACCCTAAAACCCCAACCTTTAGGGGGCTTTAGGGCTGCTAGCGTTCCTGGACCTTCCGTCTATGCCGAGGCTGGCTCTCAAGAGGGCCATCGCTGGGATTCCTCCGGCTGGTGTCGCTTCAGCGGACCAATTGGGGGGGGGGGGGGGGGGGGGGGGGTTTTTTAGGGTTTAGGGTTTAGGGTTTAGGGGTGGTGTTTAGAAGGGTTTAGGGCTTAGGGTTTCGGAGCCCCCAAGCCCATCTGTTGTTCTGTTACCACTACGAAGCCCTTTGAGAGGAACCCACAAACCGTAAACCCCTGAACCTTGTAAACCCCTAAACCCCTGTGGCCGTCTGAGGCACCTGCTAGGGGCTCAAATTAAGCTTGACCCGACGCCAGCGCGAGGGTTGCGATCTCTAAGAAGACTGGCACCTCGTCTCGTCTACTTGGAGGTTCATGGGTACTTAAGTGGTACTTATAAGCCCAAGTATAAGTCTACGTGTAACCGACTTTGAGAACCAGAAACCCTAAACCCCAAACCCGAAAGGCCCTAAACCCTATATGGGGACTTAGAAGTGCAGTTACAGTTCGGGTTATAAGTGCACATGATCCTTCAAGTGCAGAAGGACCTCCCTCCAGGACCAGTAGGCCGCAAGCATAGGTTCTTGGGGGGGTTTAGGGTTTGGGGTGCAGGGGTGGGCCTGAGGGAGGACCCCATAGTTCTAAACCAAACCCTAAACCCCAAATCCCAAACCCCAAACCCTAAACCCCAAACCCCAAACCCTAAACCCCTAAACCCCAAACCCCAAACCCTAAACCCTAAAACCCTAAACCCCCAAACTCTAAACCCTAAACCCTCAGCAGGACCGAGCTTCGGGAGAAGGCTTTGCAGGCCTGGAGCCTGTCGCCGATAAGGTTTTTTTTTTTTTTTTTGGGGGGGGGGGGGGGGGGTTGTAAAGGTTTGGGGGTTTAGGGTTTAGGGGTTTAGGGAGTGTGGGGTCCAGGGTTGAGGGATTGGGGTTCAGGATTTACGGTTCAGGGTTCAGGGTTTAGGGCTTGCATCACTGTCATCGTGCGGGGAGATTCAGCCGCGCACCTCCTTTCGCACGCTTGCATAGCTCAGGCCGTTTGGATTACGGATGTCGGTGTTGGGTGATGTCCTCAGCCCTCGCAAGTCGTAGGGTTTCCTGGGTTGGGCCCCACAGTAGTTGCTATGGCCATAGAGCACCCTGAGTCACTACTTTCCTTGGAGTTTGCGGTTTGGGGCTTCTACGAATTGCGTAAGAACCCCGCAAATGTAGAATAGATTCTCTGTTATTAAAGCGATTATAATTGAGTTTTTTGATAGATGTCTTCGGGGGGTTCTTAAGCAAATGGTAGGTTTGGGGTTGCGCCAGCCCCCTTCTCTCAAGGGATGAAGACTCGTACCCCTAGGTTGTACCCCTAAAGGTTCCCCGCAATATATTCCTAATATGACCCTTACATACCCTTATGGATCCTTAAAAAGGGGCCCAAAACCCAAGGGTACGACCTTAAGGGTCCAAGGTTTAGGGTTTAGGGTTTAGGGTTTAGGGTTTAGGGTTTAGGGTTTAGGGTTCTCGCCCCTCAGGCTGTGACGGAGGCCCTGGCCACGTCTTTGCCCTTCCGGGCGGCAGAAGTTTACATCGACTATGTCGCACTCTCCCTAGGCGCGTTTAGGGTCTAGGGTTTAGGGTTTAGGGTTTGGGATGAACGTCAGGGTGTGAACTTGATGTTCGACCGAATATACCTGGGACCCTATTTCACCTATAGTTTTACAGGTCATACCTACTTATTAAGGGGTAGCTACGATACTAATCTGGAGGTAAAAAGAGTCCAAGGTAGATGTTGTAGGAGTTCCGGATCAAAGCAGGTTGGTTCTGTAAGAGGAGGATCTCATGAGTGCCCTGTGCGGGCTTTTAAACCCCCCAACTTTCAACCTTAAACCCTACTGTGACCCCGGTTACCTACAGTTTTACGGGTTATACCTACTAATTATAAGGGGTAGTTACTACTACTGTAGGTACATATACTCCCAGGTAAACCCTGGAGGCTCTGGCTCCTAACTTGGGCAATTAAATACTCCTTCTCGTGCACTTCGTCTTTCGGATGTTGGACACCTCGTCCTGTCCTACAAGTTTGCGAAGTGTCACGGGTTATTGTTCATTTCTGTGTGGTGGTGCTCGTTTGTCATGCTTCGTCACATGCAGAAGGTTAGCCGGCCTGAGGTGTTAAGATTTTCGGGGCGTAGGGTACCAGAAATACATCACGGAAGTACC